TTTTTTCTTAGCTAATTCATTACGAGATATGTGGAATCGAAAACAACAAGAAAAACGAGCACCAGAATTTGATGGTCGAGCTGAATATCCTCCACCACGATTAATTCCACTTTATGTTAATTTAAATACAAAAAATTCTAGTAGTATTCAACCTACATTAACAACAAATCTATCTGATAAAATTTGATTCTTCTTTATAAATAAATATTATTAAAAAAAAAAAAAAACTTTGTACTTGTATTTGTTTGTCTATGATATATTTGATCTTTTGTTTTCTTTTTTTTCTTTCAGGTTTTTTTTTACTTGAAAATAAAAATGTCATTTGAAAGATTAAATATTCTATTAAAACAAATCTCATCATCAAATTCGTATTTCTCTATTGAAAATATAATTGAAGAATATTTTTGTAATAAAAATTCTCCATTAACAACAATTGAACAAGAAAAATTAATTCGTTTATGTTTAAGAAAATTATCTGATTGGTTTAATCAAACACCTGAACAAATAAAACAAATTAAAATTAATTTTCATAAATATTTTATTCAAACATCTTTTTTATTAAAACAAAAACAATTAATTGATTTATTATTAAATCAATTAAAAATTTCATTAAATGATTATTTAACATTTCTATTAATTGATTTATATGAAAAGAATTACTTGAAATTATTAAATGAACTTGAACAAGAATTTGATTTAACATATATTATTCATTTACCTGATCGAATTACTAATATTTATATGAATAATATTCCAATATGTTTTCAATCGAAAAATTTTTTTCATCGTTTAAGTCAATATATACAAGAACAATTAATTACATATCATTATCCAAATATGGTTGCACAAATTGATACAAATATCAAATTTATTTGTCAACTTGTTCATCGAGCAGCTAAATTAGGTATTTTTTATTTTATTTTATTAGTCATTATTAGGGGCCGACAAGCTCAGCTCAGTTCTGCTCAGAGGAACTGAGCTGAGCTTGTCGACCCCTAGTCATTATTTAAATATTATGTATTTCTTTTACGATAAAACAGAAAATTTATTTTCTATCTTGTCAATCAAATTTACAATTCAACAGATAGATGACTAACTAAGATATGAGATTGATAGCTGTAGTCATCTGTAAAAGTTTCGAAAATTCTTCTGATAGATAATAGCGATTATTTAATAAGATAAATCATACTTTTGAATTTTTCCGTTATTATCATTATACAACAGAGATATTAATTGAAATTATATTTCGGAATAGTAAATTTTTGTTGTACTTGAGGAATCCATGAGAAATAAAATTTATTCTATTTTAATTTTATGTTTTTCAAGTTACTATCATTTTCATATTTTTTATCCATTAGTTCCTTTCACAGATTAGGCTTGTTTAATCTCTTCAGGATGTCGGACTAAATCTAGGTAAGTTAGAGGAAAGAGAACATGAACTAAAAATATTTTTAGAGCTTAAAATAATGTTTAATCGTAAAAATAAAATAGTATAAATTTAGTTTTTTCGTTGACTTATGTTCTACATATTGGTATTGTTTGGAAATTTTATTGATATCATGAAAAATAGTAATCTGGGTAGTTCAAGCCTTTTCTAATCTTTGTAAATATCGAAGAAATGAAAATCAAATTCAGAGATATATCCAGAGAATGAAAATGATGAATGTTAATGAGAAATATGATTGTCATTATGTTGTTCAACTGTAATAATTCTTATTTTAGTAAAAAGTCAATTGTTTTGTGATTATAAAAAAATTTCATTGATAAATAATGTTCTTATTGACATGATCCCATATAAAGTAACCTAATCAATTAAAGTATGGTAAATTAGAAGGTCGCCAATCTTGTCTAAATGTACGACTTGAGATTTGTGAAGTTTTTCCTTTCCAGTTGTAATAATGAATAATAATGACGACGATCTTCATCTTTTGTCATTTGAAAGAACCATCTGTATAACTTTTCTATATAAAAATATTAAACAATTCTATGATTTCGTTAGAAAAAAAAACAGAATTTAAGTTTCGACGGTTAATTAAAAAAAATAACCTTGAATTTAAATAATACTTGATACAATAAATGTGATTCTCTTTTATTATAAGTTTAATATAAAAAGAATCGTGTTCATTTCAAAAGTCTTCTCAAGATCATTTTAAATTTCAATAAGTATGACTCAATTAAAAAGAGACGTATCTTAATCTTAATAAGATGATAACGTCTATAATTAGCTACCTATGGGGTTTTATACAATTGAAATAGAAGAATTCCTGATGTGTTTTTGTTTCATATGTTATAAGAGAATATTATTTATAAAATTTGCATCTTTGTAAAAAGTGCATTCTTTTACAAATAAATTTCGAGAAAAACAAAAAAAAACCGAAAATTTCAACAAAATTTGACTAAATAGATCCGTAGTTATATTTGACATAAAATCAGCTGAATTGCGCCTTAAATCATAAATGTTAAGTCTCTTCTATAAAAGTATATTGAAAAACTAAAATTCTTATATAATATCAAATAAAACAAAAACAACGACATTCAGAATTATCTTCAACGGGTGATAGAATGATATCTATTGAGTGATTAATCTTATAATTATCTATCATAAATTTTTGTCGCAATACTTTATATTAGAAATCAGAAATATGACTTATTAGAATAATAAAATATATAATTTTAGGTTATACTAAATATATATGGCGTCCATTATATAAAAATTTATTTATAAAAAAATGTTCAAATGATTCACTTTGGTTACGATTAGCTCAATATTTTCTATTTGAAACAATTGATGATATTATATTATATACAATTGAACATGGAAATAGTAAAATTCTTGATTTATTTTTTAGTGATCGTATTATTCATTTACCATTATTAGAAAAATATTTAATTGATACATTACTTTTTCGTAAACAATTATCAATTGATATTGTACGAACAATACTTATTTATTTAACTATGTCAAATAATCGAATAGAAAAATGTTTTCAATATGTATTTAAACGTTTTTTACATATATGGTCACAAGAAAATTTTATTAGATTTTCATCAAATAATCAACATTTATATATATGTCAATGTATATCAATATGTTTATCATTTAATCAACAAATACAATTAAATAATGATAAAGATACAATAATTATGTGTGTTTTAAATGGTATTCGTTTACATCTTGAATCAACATTTGATTATATTAGACGACGTGGTCAACTTATTGGTGAATTAATTATTAAATATATTCATTTATTTTCATCATCAAATCAACTTATATTTGATACATATGATAAAAATCATTCAGAAGTACTCATGTTAACAAAATTAGCAGAAATAGATCAAACATTAAATGATAGACAATTATCGGATGATGATGATGATGAAGAAACCATCATGAAAAAAGGTTAAACCACATTTTTCTCTTATGAAAAAATCTTTACATAAATTTTTTCTGTTCTAATTTTGTTCGTCACTATGAAATATATAGACTAAGAAGATACTGACGCCAATTGAAAATATCACTATAATTTTTCTGCAGTATATTTTCGAACTTGGTTAACAGAAAAATATCAGACTAGTTCTACCTAAGAGAAAAGTCACAGTATTTCGTCATTAATAAACTATGAGAACAAACTCTTTTCAAAGTATTCATAGTTGATAAGAACCTAGATGATGCAATAATTTCTATCCGAGATAGACTTGACACTTAGAAATGTTCATCGCATTAGGACATTTTTATGAAAAAAAAATGTCAGTTGAGGTCATTTTCATAATAGTGAGTATTTCCTGTCAGACATTTTCAAGTCTAGACATGAATGTACTTGTCCAATAAAGAATATTTTTATCATCTGAGAAAACTCTCTCATGTGGATTTTACTTAATATTTTATCTAACTAGATATCTTCACTCGAGATTTTGTTTGCATCAATTTAATTAATTATATTTCCGATTATTAACGAAAAATTATTTTTTGTCATGTTCTATAAGAACTAAGTAAAAGATTTATTTAATTTTAAAAAAAAAACTGTCAACCATATTTTTAAGACAATGGTCGTGTTTTAGATAGAACCTAACACTTGGTTTAAATTAGATAACAATATTTCGAATGAGATTCATTTTTAAAAACTTTTGAATTTAACAGAATTCTATCGACTTCTCAGAAGAATCTTATAAAATAAAAAAATTTATTTCTAAGTATCACTCGTTAAAAAAATGTTGATGTTCATGCTCGATTCTATTAAACTCATTTTCTATAGGAGGAAACATTTATCATTATATACTAAGGGGGGATCAAAAAGTTTGTGAGAATTTTAAAAAGAAGCATGCCAGGTTTGTTAACCTATCCATAATAAAAAAAAGCAAACACACTATGTTGTAGAGCAAGTCAAGGCGCGTCGAATGGTATATCACAAATCTTGTTTTCACCAGATTTTGAGGAAACCAGACTAGATTTACTGGTAGATTCCCGTGGATTAAAAGACTCACTAACAGCCATTATCCGTGGAAAACGATGGTGGATCATGGAAAAGGCGCATTTTTCCGTATCAAAAATAGAACGATCGGAGATGCTGACTATATGAGCTTGTAGCCTGTGAAAAACGCTACAAAACTGTATATAGGAAAATTATGTTTAGAAACACTTTCAACTGATATCAAGGTCCACCATGGTTAGTGATTTCACTCGATGATCGTCTACCAGTAAATCCTGTCTAGTTCTCTCAAAATCTTATGACAACAAGATTTTTGATATACCATTCGATGCGTCTCGACTTGCTCTACAACATGGCATGCTTTGTTTTTTTTTAATTCTGAATAGGACACCAAATCCGACACGATTCTTTTTAAAATTCTCAGAACTTTTCGATCCCCCGTATGTAATATAATATTAGACTATAGAAGATTATTTTCATCACTTTTATCATGATGAAAACTATTGTTTTACAGATATTCGATTGATTTTTCTTTCTAATTCATTTAAAAGATAATTTTCGTTTTAACAAAATAAAAATTATTATGAAATTCACTTTTTTAATGATAATATAGACTAGCCTTCATAATATTCTATTTAACAATAATCAATAGATAGTCTATTAAAATAATTTTTCATTTTATAGAACCGATTGTATCTATAATTGAAAAACCAATATGTACAACAAATCGAATTGTTCTTCATGATGCATCAATTGATGATGATGATGATGATGATGAATTTGAATCATATGATTATTCTCATGATACAATTAAGTTAGATGTTGAAAAACCAAAATATATTCGAACATGTCTTGCTGATTTAATATCAACAGATAAAATTGATAGATTAGAATCAGCATTAAATATGTTACCAACATTAATTGAATTATATAAAATTGAATGTGAAGAAGTTGCTTTAGAATTAGTTCGTATATTATTAAATTATAATAGTACATTTAATATTGAAAATTTTGAAAAATTACGTTTAAATAATTTAATAATATTATGTGAAAATTATCCATTATTAATAAGTGATTATTTATGTAAAGAATTTTATGAAAAAAATTATACTATTCATCAACGAAGTCTTATACTTAAAATAATTCAAGAAACAGCTAAAAAATTATCACAAATTAATCAAATTCAAACGAAAATTCAAGATCAATTATTTATATCTGATGATGATGATGATGATGATAATGATAATGATAATGATTCATGGCATTCAATTATAAATAAACGTTTAAAATTAAAAACAAAATATAAAATAAAAAATAATTTAAAAACAAAAAAAAAAATTTTTCAAGAAAATAATTTTGGAAATCTAGTTGGATATTTTTATTATCCATTAATATCATATATTGATAAAAAACAAATATATTTATCATTAATTGATGGTGATCAAGATTATTTATTATTATGTGAACTTTTATCTTGTTTAGGTCGTTTATGTATTTATGCACAAAATACATTATCATTAAATAATATGATTAAACAATTATTAGATTTATTAAAAAGTTTACAACAACATCAAAATGCTGGTGTACGACATGCTATTATATATGCATATGCATGTACAATTGTTTCAATTGGTAATATATGTTATGATGAAAATTTACAATATTATTTTATTAAATTAAAACAATGGTTAGATTATATTATTATTAAAGATACAAATACTGAAGTACAATCATTAGCTAAATCAGTTAGACAAATTTTATTAAAAACATTACAACATATTACAGATAATTAAGATTTTTTGTTTTTTTTTGTTTCTATATTTTTAAATAAACATCAGTATACAAGATTTTTAAAAGATGAATTTTTTTTTATTAAGGATGTTTCGAAATTGATAAATGAATAAATCTAATCAATTTTTTAAATAAATAATATTTCTTGAAAATTTTCCGAAAGATCAATACGTACATCGTCTACGGATTTCCATATAAATCTAGTCTCATTATTATAAACTATCGTGTATGATCTTCTTAGAAGTATAATCGATAATTTTTGTTTTTTCTTTATCTTTTCTTGTTAGGATAAAAATATAAGTCTTGTTTCAATTATATTTATCGATGAAATTATTACAGTTTTTATTATAAACAATGTTTTCTATTTAGATTCGAATTATTTAAATTTAAATTAATTGTGAAAAAATTTTTTTACTACTAATAAATCTTTGAAGCTCTATCTATAATTCATTTTTATCTCATAACTGACACCATTTTGGATTCTCTAGCTAATATAGATCGATGGAATGAACCGAAAAAACGACTTAATTCTCATACTTTTGATCAAACATTTTAAAAAAACAAATACTGACAATAATTATCATATGAGAAATAAGATTTGAAAATAATTTAGTTGTTAACAAAGAAATTATTATTGATATAAAATCGAAATAAAAAGGATTTTTGTAAAATAATACTTCCTGTATTATTGTTCTTAAAATAGAATATTTCCCGTCGAAGTTCTTATCTATTAAAATAGTATCAATTATAAAATAAAGATGGATTATACAAGAACTAGCAAAAAAAATAAATTTCTCATATATGCTTTTTTTTTTTCTTATTTATTGAAATTAATTCAAAAAGAAAATATTCAAATCAAATTTTCTATCAGATAACATTAAGACTTTTTATTTTGCAAAAGTTTAATCTCTTTATCGAAAATCACTGTGTATCCAAAAGATTCACATAAATGAATTATAATAGTTTCTTTTTAAATATAAATATCATTTTGTAATATGTAAAATATTAATATTAGTTCATAATAAACAATAAATGCCTTTATCTCTTATCAAATTTTATTTTTATCATTGTCTTTTTCTTCATTCTCTTTACTATTTGTATTCTATATTGTGAACTTAACATTAGTACACATTTGTTTGTCAATCAATAAAACAGCTGCAGAAAGGTTAATGATTATCCAAGATCTACGAATCACGCCATCCACACTACTACTCTCATCTACATAAACGAATGTCTTTATGTTAATAGAAAAGATCATAAATAGGTTCTACTGAATTTCAATCGTCTCAAAATAACATTAAATACTATTTACACGCATATTTAATGATTTCAAATAAAATCCTAGATTAATATAATTATAATGATTTATTTAGAGAAAAAAATAAAACCGAAAGAAGACTATTATAATAAGTTCATTTTAATTTTAGCATAGAAATCTTCTTTCCTTGAACAAGATTAATTCCGGCATTTTCTTATTTTAATATAAAAAGAAAAACGAGTACTGCTGACTCTCTTTTGAAAAGATCTCATTGTCATTGTAGATCTATTATTAAATAAATTTCCTTGAAGATATTATCGAATATTATTATTATCCGGAATAAAAATGAAATATATTCATATTACCTAAATTTTTTTTTTTAATAAACTAAACAACAACTATACAAATTTTTTTTTTTTCGGGTTTAAAAAACAATTTAAATAATATGAAAAGAAACAAATAGTTTTGTTACATAAAAAAAAACAGAAGTAAACGAAACAAAGCAATTAATTGTCGTTATTTATTAATAATTATTTCATAAGATGATATATCTTTATATTATATTTAATTGTCAAATGATAATTTGTGATGTAATATGTCGTTTTTTTTTTTTTTTCTTTTTACAATTTGTTTTGTTTCATTCAAGGTTTAATTTTCAAGTAGAATACAATTGCATTTCATACAATAATGGTGCATACTTGAGTTGATTTGACATCGTTCAATCATCATCCATATGAATAAGAAAAAGAAGAACAAGAAAAAGATAAAAGGAAACATCAGAAAAAAAAAAAACAGAAACATTTCGTCAGTAATCGAACATTAGTGTAAGTTTAATCATAATACAAATTTTTCTTTTCTATTTTATTTAATTCATTTATGTCAAATATTTATATTAGAAGAAAATAAACAAACAAACAAAATTGAGTTCGTGATGTTTATTGTCTATTTTTTTTACGCCTCACATTCTTTTTTACTATAAAGATTGAAACCGATAAATAAATGGAGTGAGAAAAATGTGGGGGCAATATAGACATGTTATTATCTTTTCCTTTTTTTTTGCCTACAAAAAGTTTGTTCATCTGTAATTTGCATCGAAGAGAATTCAAAGTCATGAGAGTATTCACTTAATTTGCTTCATTATGTATATATATATATATATAAAAGGATTTCTATCCATGTTATTATCTATATAATATACATTTTGTCTTTGGTGGGGTAAGTTGTTACTCTTCGACTTTCTCCCTATTACATCCATATATATATATTTTTATTAGAAAAAAAATTAAAATATAAAAAGCAAAAAAAAAGAAAATTTTCAATTATATATATTCTATTGTAGTATTGATATTTAATTCATAATTAATTTGAACAATAATATAATAATGTTAAAAGTCCAATTAATTCTAATATTTATTTGTTCACAAATATTTCTTATTAATTCTTATACAATAAATCATATTCAAGTAAATATTTTCTAGAAGGTTTTTTTTTTCTTATTTATCTAATATAAATAATAATTGTTTTGTTTTTGATAGAGACCATTTTGGTTTGAATCTGAAAGTGAATCAAATGATGAATTACTTTCAAAACTTTTACAAAATGAATTATTAAATGAAGCAAATCCAGGAATAGTTTCATCTACTGATGTTTTATTTGATCAAACAGATGGTCATACACGAAATTTACAAAAACGAGGACGACGTATGTTTTATTTATTGATTTATTTATTTATCTATGATTAATAATTGTAGAATGTTTATGGAAAGTATGTAGTTGGGCACTTGACAAACGTTCATTACGTCCATCAGTATCATCATCAAATTCAGTTGATGCTTTATCTAAACTATTCTATTAGAAAATAAAAATAATGTGAACTGCAATTTGGTTTTACTTCTTTTTTTTGCTCGATCTATCTTAATTGATTATCTCTTTCAATTAATTTTAATGTCAAATAAATAACGAAAAAAATTCAAGCGAAAAATCTTTCTCTTTTTATATATATATTTATGTTCAATCAAACAGATAAGATATGATTATTATTCAGTTTAATGAAAAACAAAAGGGTTTTGATCAGTTATGCGTGTTTTTCTGATATGGTTTTCATAACTTCATTTATATTTATTATCAAGAAATACCTTTGGCTTTTTTTCCTTTTATAAGAGAAAATATATCGATATCGATGATGGATATTAAATTAACACATTTTAACGCAATTGAATTCACTATAGAATGATTCAAAACTTTCTTGACCATAGAAAAAATTGAATATCTCTGTTATATTTTGACGAAAGAGGTTAATTCTTTTATCACTGATAAAGAGATATTATAGTTGATAAAAACTATATTGAAATATGACAATTATCTTATAGAAAAGTCAAATTGATATCACAACGAATATGTTAACAAAAAATAAAATTGTCATTAATTAATAAATAACAAAAACTATGATAATAGGAAGTTAATAATCGACATTATAGTAACTGTGTCAAATAGACATTAGTATTAAAAATTAACCTTGATCCTTTTCTATTATTTGCTTTAGAATTAATTAATATCAAACTGTTAACATTATATTTAATTCAAATACATATACTAATAATGACTATACTTCTCACAGTTCATCTTTAGAATTTTTTTTTTTAATAAAAGAATAAAATCTTTTTATATCCAACAGTGTCATTTCTAGAAAAAGAGTAGGTTTTTTTTATAGATGGACGTGCTGTTTCCAAATAAAAAACTCGATAGTTACTCATCTATGAGAACTTCTAAAGTTAGAATATCAGACATCTAGTCAACGATAAAAAAAAAATAATGGCAACAGATTGATATCAATTGATTGTGAAGTTATCTATTTTCTAAACTAAAAAACTACGTTTATTGATGTCCTTATCAAAGAAATCATTTAACACTGATTCGAATATTCGATTCATGAATAATATATTAAGTTCTATTTTGTTATGTACAATCAAAAACAAACTCGATCTGTAAGCAAAATAAATGTATTGGAGAAAAATGCTTTTAGCTGTTTGCAGTATTATCGGATAATATTCCTAATCATTTGATAAATATTATTTCAGATGAAAAATATCTATAGAATAATTCATATAGTTAAACTTAAGAACAAAAATTTTTTTTTTCTTCTTTTGACAAGATCAATTGAATGATCGAAAGTTCGAGTTCTCACCATTTCATATAAGATTTATTTTCTAATTATGAAATTTAAATAATGTTTGTTTTTTTTGATAAAACAATCATATATGATTTTAAAGTTCTATTCTACTTATAAAGATTTGATGAATATTTCAATATAATAAGTAGATATTGTCTTTTAAACATTCTATTAAATAATGAATTTTAATATCAAGAAAATTTAATTATTCTATGTTCAATTTAATATAAATTTAGATAAATGGATCTCTATATTTTCTTTAGTATTTAATTTGTATATGAATTAAAACACCTACATATGGAGTAAAAAGATAAGTTGTTCTATCATTATTATCTATATTTATAGAATAAAGATCAGAAAAAAACACAAGATATGAAAGTAGAAGATTTTGAAAAGAATAAATTAATATGTTTTTTTTCTTTTTGTCGGAGTATTTTAATTACATATATTTGTTAGCATTTATACAATCTTTAATAAAGATATTTTACAGTAAATAACAAAGAAAATCATCATAAGAAGTGAAATTCTTTGATCATTCAAATTAATTTTTAATTTCTATATAACATAATATTTTTAGAATTTTAATTCGAATCAGCTTAGATTATTTTCCTTTTTGTTCAATTTCTTATCAAAAGTTTGTTTAAAACTTATATTTTAAAATGCAAACGATAGAATAATCTTATCAACTTCAATGTAATAATACATATGTTTATTCAAAAAAGTCACTTAGCTGTTTTATTATTTTTAATCAGAAGAATATAAAAATAAAAGATACTCTTGAACAAAGAAATATTTTTAAATGTCTAATTGCTTTTATTTTGAGACTTTCCAATTTCAACTTTGTGCATAATTGAATAACGATATTTCAATTTGTGGTTTTGCATATAGATAGATTTATTTATCAATAGAATGGCCTAAAAACTTCAGTTTAAAAGAATATTTCTTTTTCAGGATATTAAAATTCGATTAATTTAGATTCTCAACGAAATTGAATAAAGTAGCCATATCTCAACAAGTGAAAAGTTGAAAACGAAACCGAAATATAATTTTTTATTAGTCATGATAAAACGATCAAATGAGAATAATTTCAAACGAAAAACGATTAGACTTTTCGAAATCGTTTCTTATAAATAATAATTCCTAAAGTTAAACGATCGAGTTCATAACTTCTCGTTAAATATAGTATTCTTTTTTTTGATGAATTTATTTTTCATTTTATTGAATAAATCTGGTTTTGATTCGATTGAGACAAAAAAAAAAAAAAGAAATGATTTGTTTACCCATGTAAAAAAAAGTCGTAAAAAATCAAGATTTTAATCAATTTTTTTTGATTAAAAATCGATTAAAATGAGACGATTTTCATCGGATTTTAATCAAATTAAAAATCAAAACAAAATTGATTTTAATGGATTATTCTGTAAAAAATCGATTAAAATCAGTTGTTTTTTGATTTTTAATTTGATTAAAATCCGATGAAAATCGTCTCATTTTAATCGATTTTTAATCAAGAAAAAAAAGATTTTAATCGATTTTCTACAGAATAATCCATTAAAATCAATTTTCTTTCGATTTTTAATTTGATGGAAATCGTCCGATTATAATCATCGTTAATTTCTTCGCGTCTATTAACTGTGCTCATATGACACTTCACTTTTTATCTGCGTGCATTACTTCAACTGAATCATCCATTTAAATCTCTCATTACCTGTTAGTCGATTTTAATCTCTCATCACCTATTAATCGATTTTAATCCCTCATCATTTGTTAATCCGTTTTAATCTATTATTACTTACTAATTGATTTTAATCTATTATTACTTACTAACTGATTTTAATCGATTTTGTTCAGATAATCGATTTTAATCGATTTTCTTATGAAACCACGAAAATTTGTGACTTACTCGAGATTCGAACACAAAACCCATATTTTTCGACCACTTCTTCTTATTTCTCGTATTAAGAAACTAAGAAGTTGCCAATGCACCAAACTTCGGCATTCAAAGTATGTTTGGAAGTCCTATTTAAGTTGTTTTCTTCGAAATTGCGCAATTACATTCAAAAATCGATTAAAATCGATTACAAAAAATATAATTGATTATAATCAATTTTTTTCTATAAAAAATCAGCATTCACAAAAATATAATCGATTTTAATCGATTTTCTCTATCGGAAGATATTACCATTCATGCAGCTGTAATGGATTTTAATCAATTTTACATATGAAAAACAATCATATCCATAGAACTATAATCGACTTTAATCGATTAAAGTTATCTTTATAAAAAATCTATTAAATTTCTAATCGATTATTTGCATTTCTTGAAATAAAATCGCTTTTAATCGATTACAGTTATCTTCATAAAAAATTGATTAAAATCTATTAAAGGACCCTGTCGGTTTTTGTCACCTAGTCAGAACAAAAATGTCTTGTATATGGTTTTGTAGAGAATTTAAAGGCGCATCGAATGGTACATAGGAAGTCTAATTTTCATTGAGCCTTAATGTCATAAGGACCCATATACTGCTCATCACTCTATAGCACATAGCAAAGATGGAACCGGTACCGATCTGGATTTTTATCGACCGGTATTTATCGGTCCAAACCGGTCTGACCGGTCGAAACCTATCTGACCGATCGAAATCGCCTTATATCGGCCTATATTTTATTTAATCGATGAAAGTTATTGCCATAAAAAACCGATTAAAATCGATTAGATTTCTAATCAATTATTTGAATTTCTTAGAAAAAAATCAACTTTAATCGATTAAAGTTATCATCATGAAAAATCGATTAAAATCTATTAGATTTCTGATCAATTATTTGAATTTCTTGGACAAAAATCGATTTTAATCGATTAAACTTATCATCATAAAAAATCGATTAAAATCTATTAGATTTCCAATCAATTATTTCAATTTCTTGGAAAAAAATCGATTTTAATCGATTACACTTATGATCATAAAAAATCTATTAAAATCTATTAGATTTCTAATCGATTATTTGAATTTCTTGGGAAAAAAATCGATTTTAATCGATTAAAATTATCATCATAAAATATCGATTAAAATCTATTAGATTTCTAATTAATTATTTCAATTTCTTAGAAAAAAATCGATTTTAATGGATTAAACTTATCATCATAAAAAATCGATTAAAATCTATTATATTTCTAATCGATTATTTGAATTTCATGGAAAATAATCGATTTTAATCGATTAAAGTTATTGCCATAAAAAATCGATTAAAATCTATTAGATTTCTAATGAATTATTTCAATTTCTTAGAACAAAATGGATTTTAATCGATTAAAGTTATCATCATGAAAAATCTATTAAAATCTATTAGATTTCTAATCGATTATTTGAATTTCTTGGAAAAAAATGGATTTTAATCGATGAAAGTTATTGCCATAAAAAACCGATTAAAATCTATTAGATTTCTAATCGCTTATTTGAATTTCTGGAGATAAAATCGATTGAAATCGATTTAGTCAAAGAAAATCGATTAAAATCAATTATTTTCTCAAAATTAATCGAAGAATGTCGTATTTAATCGATTTTTTGTGATTTTTTTACAAAAAATCAAAATTAATCGAAAATTTCATGATTTATTTTTACATGGGTACAACATATAAACAATAATGATATTCGAGATTTTTAAACATATAAAACAAGACAAGACAAACATAAGTTATTATTATAAAAGAAAAGGTTTGATTAAGATGCTCGTTTATCTTCTTTTAATGTTACCGTTTGATTAAATACATACTACAATAAATAATAAAAATAATTTATTTCTAAAATTGAACTTATACTTTGTCATTAGTTGTATCAGAATCAACACTAAAATATCCAACACGTTCAAATTGAAATTTATCAAGTATTTTAGCATTTTTAATTCCATCATCAGCAAGAGCATTTGAATTAATTGTTAATGAATTCTTAAATAAATAAATTATTTAAATAAAAAAAAAACAAAAATTAAAAATTATACTGGATTTATATCTGAAAGAAAACCATTTGGAACTTCTTTTCGATCTTCAGGATTTGGATGAAGAAAACTAAATAAAATAAATATTAATTTATTTTATTTAAAAAAGAAAAAAAAAATGAAATTAACTTACAGTTTTTCATAGATTCGAACTTCACATTTATTTGGATGAGATACCCAATGAATAAAACCTTTAGGTTTTATAACACCTTCATCCGTTACTTTTTCACATTTTACTTTTAATTCAATTGGTTCATTATTTGAATCCTAATTTAAAATATGATTTAAGTCAATTTCGATCATAATCAATGATCAGACAGTGAATCTTTGGATTTGAATGGAGGAATATTTCTTTTTACATATGATTTCTTTTCCAATTTTTCAAAACTGATGACCGGGGGTAACTTCGTGAAGATTTCCGTACCTCCTAAATTTCGAAAATTTTCTATCCCGCTGCCACTGGACATAGAGGCTAAACAAAAATCTATTAGCTCACTATTTTTAGGTCTTTAAAAAAGTACTCCAATACATATGTTGGAAGAAAAACATTGTTAAAATCGTATTCAAATTGTGGTCGTGACCTTTCTTTTTGACTCGTCTGAAATTTTTTTAAACACTGATAAATGAACAAGTATGTTCATTTTAATTATTAAGTAGTGGCGTAACTAGGATTTTCCAGTATCCTGGATCTGCATCAGAGAGCATGGGTCCCAAATGAAAACTTATGTACATTGATATTGGACTCAAATGATGAAGTTCTATCGGAAAAAAATTTGAATCAAGGTTTGCAAAAAAAAATTAGCATTTTCCTGAGTCCTACCAGAAAATGTTTCACATCTTTAATAATATGTCCTTTTCAAGAATGCCATCGAAAGCTACATCAAATTTCATCGATAGATTTCAAATTTCATTTAAAAAAATTCATCCGTTCAGAAGTTGTGCGATTTTCAATTCCTGATGAAATTTTTTCGAAACGCCCCGAATCTTAAAAACGTCATAACTTCTGAACGGATCAACTTTTTTAAATGAAATTTGAAATCTATGGATGAAATTTGATGTAGCTTTCGATGGCATTCTTGAAAACGACATATCATGAAAGATGTGAAACATTTTCTGGTAGGGCTCAGGAGAATGCTAATTTTTTTTGCAAACTTTGATTCAAATTTTTTTCCGATAGAAACTCATCATTTGAGTCCAATATCAATGTACATAAGTTTTCATTTGAGACCCATGCTCTCTAATAGAGATCCAGGATACTGGAAAATCCTGGTTACGCCACTATTATTAAGACTCAGACATAAGTTTCATTGATATGATTTTTATCTCTTAACTTATATGTGAAAATATTCATAACTATTGAATGAATTTATATTAATCTAGATCTTCCTAGAGAACGTATAGGTTGAATGATGTGGCATTCTTACAAAAATTAGGTTCTTCATCATATTATTTTTAAATAATAGATTTAATTTCAAATAAAATAATTCTTTTTTGAAAAAAAAAGACTAACTCGAATAATATCTTGAATAGTAATAACTAAAGCAATATGTTTTAATCCACATGGTTGATTTGGTGTTAAACGTTTAAAATCTTTTGCTGGATTCTAAAATGAAACAAATTTTATTTATTTATTTTATGAAATTATTTTTATTACTTCACTAAAATCTGATTTTTCAATATAAATAACTGAATCAAATTTAATTGTATGAGAACCACGAGATTCTTCTCCAGGATAATTTAATACAGTTAATTCTGTCATTTTTTCATATGGAAAATTAGTTATTGTTACTTTTAATGGTTCTAAAACAACCATTACTCTTTAACAAAAAGAAAAAAAATTAATATTCGAAAATTAATATAAGATAAATTCTATACCTTGGAGCATTTAAATTAAGTACTTCACGTACACATGCATCAAGCATATCTGGATGAAGAATTGTTTGTGACATTGTTACACCAATACGTGCACAAAATAAATTAATTGCTTCTGGTGGAAAACCACGTCGTCTCAATGCAGTTAATGTATATAAACGTGGATCATCCCAATCTCTTAATATAAATAATTATTTTAATTAATATATTTATATCGTAGATTTTTTTTTTCTTTTACCGAACAACATTATTTTCAATTAATTTAACTATTTTACGTTTTGATACAACTGTATATTGAAGATTTAATCGACCATATTCCCATTGTACAGGACAATATAAATCAAGAGCATTACATAACCAATAATATGAAGAACGTCTTGAATATATTTTTATTAAATATATATTAAAAAAAGATAATGAATTAGTTAGGTTTTTCTTTTTTTACCTTGATTGAAATTCTTTTGTACATAATGAATGTGTTATATTTTCAATAGAATCATTTAAACAATGTGTATAATCATATGTTGGATAAATACACCTATTTAAACATTATTTTATTATACTATTCATTAATTTAAAAATATATTTCTATTTTATTTTCATTGATTCATTAAAAACCAAATTGAAATTGTTATCAATGATTATTTATGAAATTAAATTAAGCCGAGATTTATCTATTTGAGGGTCAAGCCAGGGGATACCTAGGTATCCCCCTTGGCCAAAAAACGTCTGGAGGGAAGTACGAATAAAAAATCTTTTTGTGAAATAAAAATTTATCCTACTGCTGGTGTGCACTCTCCAGAGTAAGTCGGCACTATAGGTGTAAATCGTACAGCTGGGCCGCTGCCACAGAATCAGAGATAATTTTAAGAATTTTTTAGAAGCCGCCGCTATGGAAAAAAATTTGATCATAAAAGCCGTCGCCGCTGTTTTACCCTTCGGGTTATATCTATAATCGGCACCCCTCTTTATAGTCAAATAAATAATCTCTATCATCGAAAAAAAAAGACAGTGATGATGAGTTGCGAATATTTTCTTAATATTTATATTCAATGTCTTCATTTAAAATAGTTGATACTCTTTGAAATAAATTTATTTTCGATTTAATTTCTTACCATTTATCACCAGTTTTGGCATGATGAGCATATTTAATACGATAAGCAACTGGATCAAGTTTACCATCTTCCATAACACATTTCATTCTTAATGTTGCTTCACCTTCAGCAAATTTTCCATGTTTCATATCCTTTAAATATATTCTTATTTAATTAAAAAACAAAAACAAAAAAAAATCTAACCTCAAATAATTGTAAAGATTCTTGAATTGGTCTATAACGCCATGGTGATTCAGGTACATTATGTCCTTTTAATTCTTCACCTTTTTGATGACATACATAAGCTAAATCTCGATGAATTAATTCTTTAGCCCATTCATATAATTGATCAAAATGATCAGATGCATGAGTTACTTTATATGGTTCATAACCTAGATAATCATAAAATAAATCATATTCTTTTTTGAATATATGAATATTTTACCAAGCCATTTGACAATATCAATAATACCAGTAAAAAATTTTTCTTCTTCTTTTTCTGGATTTGTATCATCATAACGTAAATAACAAATTCCATTATTTATTTTAGCATAACCAAAATTAAAATTAATTGCTTTTGCATGACCAATATGTAAAATTCCATTTGGTTCAGGTGGAAATCGTGTTATGATCTTTATTAAATCAAAATAATAAAAGATTAAATTAATGATTATTGTTTTTTTTTTGAATTTACTTGTCCGCCAGTTTTTTTTAAATGTTCTCGCATGAGATCAAGTGTTTTTGGTGTCATTACATAACCTTCTGTTTTATAATTTTCACCTGAACACAAAAATATATATATATATATTCTAATAAAAAGAATTCTATGTAAATTTAACCTGGTTTATGAAAATTTAAAGCTTCACCAACTAATTCTGCAAATGAATGTATTTTCGTATTAGGTTGAACTAAAATAAAAGAATAATTAATAAAAAGAAAAATAAATTCTAAATTAAAAACTTTCTATCATTAATTGATTTAGAAGATATTTTTGATTTATCAGTTGATGAAACGACATTCTAATTAAATATTATTTATTTTAAAAGAAAATATTTTAAATAAAATAAAATTTACATTTTGTTTTTTTGTTATACTATTCGATGAACGATCATTAGGACCAAGTAAATCAACTAACTATAATTATATATAATAAAAAATATTTATTTTCAAAAATTTTATTTTTAGATAAATTTTTACTTGATCATCCATTTCATTTTTCAATAATCTTCCATCGGCCCATTTTAAACGATATCGAGCTTCATTTATAAGTGTATTCATTGAAAAATTATATCCTTGATCAATTAATTTTGATTTATTTTCTTCGATTACTTCTTTTACCTACAATCATCATTAATTTAACTGTTTGAATATACATAATAGAAATAACGTACCACTCGTTTAATATCGTCTATAGTAACATTAACTCCAATGCCAGCACTTTCTTCAAGTGCTTTTTGATCTATTGGTTCGGTTGGATTTGTTAGAAGATAATCAATAGCAGCTAAGAAAAATATTTATTATTAATAAAAACAAAAGTTTGCTTTTTTTTTTTCTTCTTTTTGTTAAAATACCTATTAATTGTTGTTCATTTTTAATTTTTTCTTCACAAATATATTTGATTAAATATTTATGTAAATGATATATTTGTTGTTTACTCTTTGTTGATAAAGAATATAAGAGATTTCCAATAGATTTTGAAATTTGATTTTCATTTGATAAAATTGTTTTAGCCTGAATTAAAATTCATAATAAGAATTTAAGAAAAAAAAACAACAACAACATAAAATACTAACTTCATTAATAGTAGATTCAAGTAAACGTGTTATATCATTATTTTTTAATGTTTCCCAAGATTTTTGTTCATTGAGACCAATTGATTTAAATAGAGCAACACGTTTTTCGTCGTCAATAGAAACTGCCATAGAAATAAACTAATGTGAATTAATGATTCTTCTTTCTTTTTCTTTTTTTCTTAAAATGATGCATACAAATATATACTACACTATCAATTATTCAATAGATGATGCAATAGTTTTTACGTCTAATGTTATATTATGAGTAATATGAAAGAAGGAAGGAAGGAAGAACAGAACAAACATCGACCATGTGAGCAAAGAATTTCTTCATTTCTACATCACTCATATTATTGTTTTTATGAAAAAAGTGTTTAACGAATAGAGATTTAGGTCCTCAGTTTCCAATTTGTTTTCACGACATCTGTCGATATTAAATTTCCATCATATTCTATTTTAGGCTCATCTTAAGAGTATCTTTCTGAGTAGTGTCACATATCCAAAATTTTGGAGATGCGCCCACATCTCTCACAGGAGATGCTGCATCTCCCGCGGGAGACGCGGTCATTTTCTACTGGAGATGTATCATCTCCTTTAGAGATGCACATCTCCCGCGCTAGACGTGGATGCATTTCGAAAATTTTGGATATGTGACACTGCTGAAATGATGATGAATATCTTATAAATAAATCAATTCAGATCAATGAATTTGTTTTATATACTATATGTTTCAATATAAGAAAAACCAATACACAAAAGTTTTGAGAATAAGTAGAAAAAACAAAATAACAAGAAATCTATTAGAAAAAAACGAAAGCAAATGTCTATGAGAAAAATGAATTAAAAAAAGAAAAATATCAAATATATCTTCGTTTATTTTCATATGATTTATCTGAATGTCGTTGATTATCATATAAATATCGATTAACTCTATCAAATGAAATTCGTTCATCATTAATTAATCGATTTATTTCATGTTCAATATTTGTTCGATCTTTTGTATATTTAATCATATATTCATCTTTTATTTGATCAATTTCATTTTCATATTCTTCAATAAATTTTAATAAATTTTTTTTCAAATTTTTTATTGATTTTTTTTCATCTATTTCAATAATTCTTGATTGATTTAATGAATCGGAATTAATATTCATTGTTGTAAGACATGGTTGTGTTGATAAACGTTCAACTATTTGATTAATTGGAGAAATATGATTAATTACATTTCGAGGTGGTGATGTCCAACCACATTCATTTATACTATTTTAATAATAGAAAGAACATTTCTTTTTTTCAATTAGAAATTCAAATTATTTTTATATTTAAACAAGGAAAATATCTCAGTTATTACATCATGTTTTTCGGTTCATAACCAGACTCATACGTGATGATCAAAGTAGAAACAGATAATACTCTAATGCCCTCAACAATCTTTGTACCTAGCGAGAACCCGTACATACTGCGCGACAGCTTGTTTTTCTTTAACATACGACCCCAAACCTTTAACCTTTCGCTCGGTAATAGACACACAGACACTCGACATTGCGTACATAGAAGTCCTATGGCGTGATATCCTTATATCGCTAATAGCCCATGTAGCCTTACTCCCTTATAGCGTTTCCCCGTTATAGTCTTCTTCCCCTTATAGCCTTACCTCCTTAGGGCGATCCCCCCTTATTGCCTTACTCGTTTGTAGCCTGACCCCCTTTATAGCCTTTTTTTGATGTTTAACCTTTGATCCGCTACAGACACCGAACATTATATATATATAGATGCTGATAAAGTCACTTTAGCAATTCTGGTCAATAATTAATGTGCACATTTCCATAACAGTTAAAGACCACAGACTGATTTCTTTTTTGTAGTTGATTATCAACGAAAAAAAAAGGAACTGAACGATATTAACAACAAGACTTAGACGTTCCATGAAATTTGAATAGGTCGAATACATTTTTCAATGTTTTAATTCGTGTAAAAGTAGTCAATTTAGTGATAGATATAAAATATATTGAATAGTACTGTTTTCATTTCTCACAATACCAACACTAGATATATATTAAATGACCAAGTCATAATAAAAACTAGAGATTGAATAAAAAAAAAATCAGTTCGAAATACGGAAATAAATCAGGCAGATCGCTTGTTCTTGAAAATAAACTATAACTCTTATTACGATATATGGTGAATAAATCATTGTGCTAAGAGCTCGAATAATTTTCTTACCAAAACTTTGATTCAAGCTAGTTATAAAGATCTATTAGATATATAACATATAATATGTTTTTTGTATGATTAACTGCATCATGATTAAGAATATATTCCTCGAAAAGGCTAAAACAGATAAGTTTTGTAAAAAGTAAATAATATAGTGATGAGATTAGGGATGTTCCGAGACCGATAGAAGGATTGAGCAGGTTTTTGAGAATTGGTAAACAAAACAATGAATAAAAAGTTAACAATTTGCTAGAAAAAATTGAAAATCATTGACTTTCGATAGTATCCATATTGAAGAATGAGATTAGTTTAAAAGAAAAACCTCGACTTTAATCAAACGATTGACTCAAGAAAAAAATTGTTACTCTTGAATTTTTGTTTCTTTATTTGTTCAAACATATATTGCTAAACTATAGATTATTTGACGATTGTCCTAAGAGTTCTCTTTATTTTTTTTTTCATTGACGCAGAAGCTCACTTTCAAAATGATTTTCTATTTCAATTGTATAAAAGAATTAAAAATTGTTTTGTGAGATTTAAACATTTTCTCTCAAAGGAAAATAATCGATTAATCTGTTCACGATTGAATATTGAATAGTAAAATTAAACTAAAATCATTGATACAGTGAGGACTCAAAAAAGCATGTACTTTTTTGTTTTTACGCATAAACGAATAATAAGAATATTCTGAAAATTTTCTCTCATATCGGACTTTGTAGAACTTTTTTCGTTGATCATTTTGGTAAAAAAAAAGTTTTTGATTTTCATTGAGTAATGACGATGTTATAGTCAAAATACTACACACTGTAATACATACTACACCCGTGGGCAAAAGTCTTTCCCCCCATCTCTTTTCTTGGCAAAGTTTTCTCTGCTATTATAAGGACAAAACATGGTGTTGTTCGGGCCGATTAAGGGTTATTAGGGATCCTCTTTTATATGGCCTGAACAACACCATGTTTTGTCCTTATAATAGCAGAGAAAACCTTGCCAAGAAAAGAGATGGGGGGAAAGACTTTTGCCCACGGGTGTATATCTAATTACAACTGAACATACTCTGAAAATCACACTAAAACCTCACTAAATTCGTTGATTTCCAAATAGTAATTATAGAGTTTTGTTCAGTTTTTTATGCTCTTTCATATGAAAGAGTTGGAATTAAAAAAAAAAAAAATCAAAATTTTATTAATTAATTGCTAATTATTATTAATTATTAACTAATTAACTATTAATTAGTTAATTAACTGCAATATAAGTATAAGTGCTTGTTATCAAAATGTAGCCCATTAAATTCTGCGTCGAATGATATATAGAACATCTTTCAGATGTTGTGAAATAACGTAAAAATTAGCCAAATACTAAAAGTGCGCTAGACTTTTTTTCCCTACTTTATATATTACAGTGTTTAGTATTTTGACTGTAACATCGTCATTACTCAATGAAAATCAAAAACTTTTTTTTACCAAAATGATCAGCGAAAAAAGCTCTACAAAGGTCGATATGAGAGAAAATTTTCAGAGTATCCTTATTATTCGTTTATGCGTAAAAACAAAGATGTACATGCTTTTTTGAGCCCTCACTGTAAAAATTAGCTTTTTTTTTTATTGATATTTGATTTGAAAATCTACTTATCAGTTTTGTAAAAAAAAAAAACAAATGAAACTTACTCTGGTGAAGAATCATCTATTGATTCTGTTAGTAAAGAAGATGATTGAGATATAATATTTGAAATTGATTTTTCTTGTTGATTACAATTGAATTGTTGAACTGTTGATATTTGTGATAAAAATGTTTGATTTTGTTCTGTTGTAGAAGATGAATTATTTAAATTTAATTGAGTTGTTTCAAGTAAATAATCAATATAATCATTCGTATATTCTTGTTGATTAATATTAATAGATGATTTAAAATGATCTGATACTTTATTTAAAGAAAGAGTTGTACCATTTAAATAAATAAAATGTAAATCAAGAAATTTTTGAACAAATTTTTCATTTTCAAATTCAATTATTGCACATTTTGGATCATTTGGAATAATTTTACAAGCAACAACTGTTGCTCGTTTATCAAAATAATCCCTAGAAAAAAAAAATTTTGTTTTGTTTTTTGTTTTTTAAATAAGTATCTTACATTAATATATTTTCATTAATATAATCATTTAATCCATAAATCATAATTTGATGATGATTATTTTCTAAAGAAATATTATTTTTTAAATATTCTTTAGGATTTATAGCTGTATGTATATTTAATATTTGATTATCAATTATTTTTGGAATTGTTTTTTGTTTAATTATTGTACGAATAAATTCTCTATTACTAAATTCAATTAATATATATATTTGTTTATTTTGTTTTGATATATAAGATTTTATTTTTTGATCAATTAATTTATAAAATTCAATTATTATATTTATATCATTTAAATTAAATATTGGTCCAATAAATATTTTACGATCAATATTTAATATATCAATATTATCTAATAAATTTTTATATAATTTAATATCAAGTTCAATTAAATCAATTTTATGTAATGATATATGAAGAAATTTTTCTAATTCTTCTTTATTACTAAATTCAATAATACGAAAATCACAAAAAATTCGTTTTTCATTAGGACATTTATCTATTGTACATGAAATTATTCGACCATATTGTGAACAATAATTTATTAATATATCATCATCAAATGAACATGTATTTCCAATATAAACACATAATGATAGATTTTCAATAGATGATTTATTCAAAATAGAATTCATTATAAATATATTATATCAAAATTTATCTTTCTTCTTCTTTTTTTTTCAAAAGTAACACTCAATCAAAACTATTCTCCCATTCCATATCAATATGACTAGAGGTCGCTTAACACAATCATTATTGTTATATAGATATTTTATTCTTCCTTGACTTTGATTTTTCTATTCTTTTATCTGTTTTTGTTGTTTTTTTGTTTCTCATAATTTTATATTATAAGTTTCTCGACTTTCTTCTAAGATGACAAAAATTTGACCATTTTTTGTCTTGAAGATTTTGCCAAACCTGTAAAAAGTTATGATTAATTTTTTTTAAATAAAAAAGTCGACTATTAGTCGATATTCAAATCCCAAAAGATATTATTTGTAGTATTATATATTAGATTAAATATAATTAGAATATTCGTTTCATTTACTATTGATAAATAGAGTATTCTTTCGTATATGATAAAATAAAAAGTTTTAAATTCAACAAATCTGTAAGCTTTACATTTAAAATGAAATTTTTGGTATTGTATTGATATCTACTCTCTAAATTCTAACTGCGAAGTATTGTTTCTGATGTATTGGAAAAACATGAAGTCCCGCATGATTCAAAACACAAAACTGTCAATATAATATGCAGTAAACCGATGGTTATTTAAGTTGTCTATCTTTTGATATCGATTCTACCACGGTATACCAATAGTTCTTATCCGAACAATGAGATCTTATGAATTTGACTAATTCATTTTTCGATATTTATAAATCCATTTGAAGTATACTTCCTAATGAGAATTTTAACTGAGTCTTTTAAACAATGAATTTTTTTAAAATTTTAGTTGCAATGCTTTTATTTAGGCGCGAAAAAAATGAAAATAATGAAGCAGAATGCAAAATATTTTCGTCAAAAGTCAAAAAAGAAAAGCGATCAGCCTTGAAAATGAACACAATTGTCGCGTAACATTTTCGGTCATATATTCGACAACATAGAAGATTTAATTCAGAATATTTTCATTTGTTGTACTAGAAAAATCTAATCCGAAGGAAAATGGTTGATCTGTTGAAAGAAATGGCCAATCAATATCTAGTGATCATTTATCATTGAGTATTGTAAACTATTCTGTTTTTTTTTTCTATGAGGTCAATATTAATCTTATCAGATTGATTATTCTAATAAATCAACATTTATCATCTCTCCATGAACATATGCCTTTATGTCTACAACAAATATAGAATGACAAACTCCGTAGGATAATATAAACATATTGTTTATATTGAATTAAAAAGAAAAAAAGCACAAAACAAAGCTTAATGATTATAAAATCTTTCATACATAAATTAGTTTCAAATTATTTTTCTCATCAACATACAATAAAATCAAAAAATTCTAGAAATAAATTTATTTTAATTTGTTTTTGAATTCCACAAATTATAATATTAGTCTATTGAAAATAAAATTATCAATCGAAAAAAATTTTTTTTTTGATTTATTAAACACTACATCAAATATCACCGGATTACAAAAAAAAAAAGAAATCTAATTAGAAATAAACAAAAATTATTTAATAGAATAATAAAAAGTTTATATTGTAATAATATTGAATTATTAGTTATAAAATAATTTTCAATATGATGATTAAATAAACAATAATTTTTACATTGTTGTTCAATATCTATCCAACGATATATACATTGATTATAAATTCCTGTTATATTATCAATTTCATAACCATTATATTGTTTTGGTGTTTGACAACGAGCAAATAAAGATAATTCAATAGGTAAACGTTGAATATCTCCACGTATAAATGCATTTTCTAAATGTCGTCGAAGTTCAGGTCTTGATATCCAATGATTAAGATAAATATCCATATTTTGATTTATTTGATCACTATTATTAAGATGATTTATTAAAAGACGATAAATATCTCCATATTTTAAATAAAATAAATCACATGTACAATCAAGTGGATTATTCATTAAATAAAGACGACGTAATGTTGGAATTTGATGATATGTACATATATCAAGTGTTTTTAAATTTGTATTAACAAGATCAATTTCAATTAATGATTTAGTACCACAAAATGTTTGTTTTAAAATCATATTTGAATTTAAATATAAATTATATTGATTTATTGTAAAAAAATTTCTTCGTAATTTAATTGATTTTAAATTATTATTTGATATAAATAAAAATGGTAAAAGATTTTTAATTTGACTATTTTCAAGATCAATATATTCAAGATGTTTTAATGATTTAAATAATTTATTTGTTAATATATATTCACCTAATGGATTATTATTTAATAAAAGAATTTTTAAATTATTTAATAAATAAAATGTATTTATATCAATATATGATATATTATTATCAGATAAATCAAGTGTTCGTAATTTTTGACAATAAATAAATAAATTATTTGATAATGAATTTATTTTATTTTCACGTAATATTAATGTATCTAAACGTTTAAGACCATAAAAATTTTCTGATATGATTTTATTTATTTTATTTTTACTTATATCAAGTAAACGTAAATTTTTAAGATATCGTAAAAAATTATTATTATTTAAACAATTTAATTCATTATCTTGTAAATTAAGATTAATTAATGTTTTATTAAAATTTGAAAAAATTTTATTTGGAATATAAGAAAGATAATTTGATGAAAGTATTATTGTTCGAATTGATTTATTATAATTTATAAATGTATTCCATTCAATACTTTTTATACCAAAACCATGAAGATTTATTGTTTTATCTTCATCCATATTTATATTTAAAGATATATTTGAAGAATATAATGAATCAAATATTGATGCACTTAAATGATGAATATTTTCAGATTTTCCTACAACTATATATAATAAAAAAATAACTTTTATGTATACATACACAAATTAGATTATTAAATCTATTAATAAACGATGATAATCACTAATGTTCTTATAGTACTTACATCTTCTATAGAAAAAAAAAGCACTTTCAAATGTTAATTACGAACTCAAATCGGAGATACACTTCTTTAATATAGTCAGACATGAAATTACTAAAGATTGTTTGTATCAGATGATCTCTACAATAAAATTCTGACTTTATTGTCATCTACATAGTTACTATCTATGAAAAGATCAAGCTATTTTTAACAAAAGAACTTCACATCACGATGAATTTCTCTATAGAGTTACGGATAGTCAGTGTTCTAAAAAAAAAACTTTTCGGTCTAATAAATATGTCAATAGACGGTACATCATACCAAAGCATAGTCGAATAGCAGGAACATTTAGAGTACTGCGGGATAGTTCCGAATCCCGTCTCACGGCAAAAATTTTTCGGAACGGGACACGAGAAAGTTTGTCCCACAGATCTCTAGGAATATTCTTTATGTTTTTCAATAGAGCTTGTCGAGATACGATTTCTATCACATTCGAAAATGTTTACTATTGACGAAAACTAGAAAAATATTGGCAAGAAAACATCAATACTTTATATATATTGATTATAGCATTCTCAAATACAAATCATATATTGAAACGAATAATGGAGAGTGAGTTTAAGAATTGTTGAACAGTTTATTATAGGAAAAACTTGTTATTAATGATGTAGCACTCGAGTAGATATGTCAACAGGAGAAATCTATTGAGAATGTTCCTATGAATCGCTCTAATTGATATCTATATCTTATGTTCTCCAGGCGAAATTTGATGTAAAATCTCTATATATATGATGAAAACAAAAAACGTATCTCATTCAAGAATCTAATTGAGTAATTGAAACCATCAACATATGAATAGTGATATTGACGAGATTATATATTATCTTATGAATCGAATAATATTTCTTTTGTCAATGATCAAGGATATGAATTATGTTGATAGAAAATAAATAGTCGAAATTTAGATTATTTATTTTGTTTCTCAAATAAAAATAATTTAAAGATTAATTTAATATATCACTATATGATTATTTCTATAGTGAATATAGTCAACAATATTGATTTTTTTGATAAATAATAATATTTATATAATATTAAATTCAATTGAACAACTGATTATTGAAATCAATTCTTATTTGTTTAATTAATTTTGTTCAAATGAATA